AAGTGAGAAGGCGTGAAGGCTGGACTCACTAGGGAGATGTTCTTATCGTTCCTTAAAGGCGTCCCAGCAGTAGAACTAGTTAAATTGAGCCAGATATATCTAAAGTTACAGAGTAGATCCCTCTATTGACAGTGCAGGGAACAAAGCCTTTGACTTTTAGCTTTTGTAAGTGGAACAGTGACTACACCAGCCCTTGAAAATACATTAGGAAGACATTTGACATTTAGAAATATGTTAATCATCAAGGTAATGATTGACTCTCAACCCCTAGGGAAATCACTCTCTAATTTTCTTACAGGGATATCCAAATGAGTTCTTCATTCAATCTGGTCTTTCTAATTCTTCATTTGAGGACATTTCAAAGGAAAGGATAGTAAATAAAAGATTAAGAATATGAATTAATCAAAGCTAATCCATTAACATGTGATTATATAGTGCCTTCCATGAGCTTTGCCTACCTAAAAGGCCATGTTCAGTTTTCATTCCCTTTTTAGGAATTCCCTGCTCACATAATATACTTCTCCGTGTTGTCTAAACACAAAGACTGACTCCTCCTTCAAGTCCTCCTTGGTTATTCCAGCTCAGACATTTTTTTTTCTTACCTGCACACCCAAAGCACTTCAAGAAGTTAAACAGAGATATAAATTTGGAATATGACTTTACTACCTGTGATATGGTCTTTTGATTCTCTGCAGACAAACAATATTACTTGTTATTAATTGAAAGTATGCGAGATGCTGAGTGTTAAATTCCCTTCTTTCTCTTTTCAAAATAAGAAAGAAGCACCATTTATTAATCTTTTTAAATGTATCCAATAATGTGCTAACCGTTTTTCATACACAATCTTATTTAATCCTGAGGACAGTCGCTGGAGGCAGATACTAACTTACAGGTGTTTCACAGATGGAGGACCATGCTACTTAGTCAAGGGTGATCCTCAAGTAGCAGGTCCAGGGCTTGAACTCAGCCCATTCTAGTTTCAGAGGCCTTGCTCTTCAACACCACACTATGCTCAAGAGATCTGCCATTTTATCAGGCGTTTGGTGTTATTGAAAGCAAATAAAAAGGCTGCAGGTATTGGAAGCCTAGCTTGGGATTCAAGTTATATGATGAATGTCTTTCAGTTTCATCTTTAAATCTCCCTGACTATATCCTCATTTCAGGATAACGTCCAGAGCCCGAATTTGAGAACTTTTGCAAATGTGAGGCTCTTGGTGTCCCCTGCTCACTTTTGACACTTGAGTCCCTCATCACCCTCAGTCACTTCCATCTGGTAGCTAGACCTGCCCGATAATTAGCTCTCCCCATTCTCCCCATTCTGGGTTTTTACCAGGCAGATAGGTACTATAGCCCTTACTATCATGTCTCTGTATTTTTAAAAAATAAGAGTATTGAGACTTCCAATATATGACTCCAGCTAAAGACTGCAAGGCCCCAGAATTTTAAGTGGATTTGAAAAACTCATTTTAGTGCTGCTTTCCTGTTAAATTGGACCTTTCGTTCCATGCTGGGCAGGAGCAAGCAGGGGGAGAGCCAAGAAGTAGGATGAGTTTGGCACAAGAGCTCACCTGCTGTGGGCCAAGGTTTAGGTAGGTTTTGATTTTGTTTGGGGCGGCCTTGAATACACTTAATTCTTTTTTTTCCCCCGAAACGTCCAAATGGGAAAGTGAATAGTAAATAGACAGGGGAAAATGAGCCTGTGGGGGAGTGGGGGATAAGCACATGTCCTCCTGTGTGTACCTTTGATTAGCAGTGTAAGGAGCTTTCTGAGACACTGGCTGGCAAGAAGGAAGCAGGTTGTCATGTCAACACTTGTGGTTTCTTTATGTGTATTTACTGCAGCTTTTCACTGGGTTTTAGTGCCTTATTCCAGGAGAAAATTGCTAAGGCTTTGTGGATCCAAGAGTATTCCTGGTGGACAGGCCATGCACTGCTCGGCACAGCCTGGGCTCCCAGCCTTCCCTCACCCTCACACCCAGAAATGGAAAGCCAGGCCATTCTTGGCTTTCTCTGTGCACACAGACAAAGAGGAAGGCACAGGCAGGCCATACATACAGAATGGTGAACAAGCTGGGTTTGCTAACAGGGCAGGGAAGAGGGCAGAGAACGTCTCTCTTTTCTCTGGGCAAGAAGGTAGGGACCAAATTACAGAAGAGGTGCAATATTTGGATGTAGGCTTGTTTCATTTGGCTTTACAGTATTTGGCCTTCACTCTGTTTCAAATTTAAAGTAGCTGCCCATTTTTTTTTTTTAAATCAGGCAATATCACATTTAAAAAATAGAGGCAGTTAGACTTATTAAAAGACACAGAACGTCTTATTCCTGTGAGTCAATGATGAACAGACACTGAGGAGCTGCTCCTTCATGTAGAGTCAAGTGTTGGCCATTTTACTGCAGTTCCCACCACTCCTGAGTGTTCCCAGTCGCCGAGGCCATGTGCCAACTGCCATTTGTCATCTTCCCCCAGCTCATTTTATTCTTACACATTACTTGTCTGACTCCTTAGGCATTTGATTTTATTAGGCTTCTTATAAAAAGCCTTCTATTCTATAGAACCACGTTTGGGCTTTGTCCCAGGGCACTCAGAACTGTTTTGAAGCTGGGGGTGGGGGTGAGGGGGATATTAGCTCAGGTTTAAGTATTGGAGATGACTCTGGCTCCGTGCCTCAGTCCGTCCAGTTCATCATGCACATGCAGACTAGTCGTGAAATGGACACAACAGGTCACATGGAGGAGAAGGGCTTGTCCCAGGCAAGTGGCAGGGCTTGTGGAAAGAAGAGGAGAGACTCTGGAAGCACATCAGAGGCAGATTGTTGGGGCTGGGAACCAACTGGATTATGTGGTATTTGGAGGAAAGAAAAGTTAAGAGGCTTGTGCTCCTGGGCAGATGATAAGACTGCTGATGGAAAGAATGAAATCAATGTTTGACATGTTTGGATTACAAATACCAGCACAAATAGGCTTTTTAGGTTATGGATGTTCAGGAAGCAGGAATGTAGCACATAATGAATTCATTTTTACCTAAACGTGTTGCTTTGTTAAATTAGCATCATGTTTATAAATAAATGTGTGCATACAGGTGTGATACCTGTGCATACATTCAAGGGAGCAATTGCATTAGATCCATGTAGTAATGGACATGGTTTTAGGTGATAACAAAGGTTTCTCTACTTTTAATACTAAAATGATTCCTACTTTTCATTTAGGCGACTTATTATTTTTAAGTACTATTCAGTTATAACCATTTTATTTATTATTTATTTAGGTGTTTTTTTTTAATGTTTATTTCTTTTTGAAAGAGACAGAGAGACAGAGAGAGAGCAGAGGAGGAGCAGAGAGAGAGGGAGACACAGAATCCAAAGCAGGCTCCAGGCTCTGAGCTGTCAGCATAGAGCCCAACGCAGGGTTCAAACTCCAAATCACAAGATCATGACCTGAAGTGAAGTTGGACGCTTAACCAACTGAGCCACCCAGGTGCCCCAATTATAACCATTTTGAAAGCAAATGTACAAGGGTGCTTGGGTGGCTCAATCAGGTATGTGTCTAACTCTTGGTTTCAGCTCAGGTCATGATCTCATGATTTGTGGGTTTGGGCCCTGCTGTGCTGTCAGCACAGAACCTACTGGGGATTCTCTCTCTTTGCCTCTCTCTCTGCCCCTCCCCCACTCCCTCCCCCCCAAGAATAAATAAATAAACATTAAAAAAATGAAAGCAAATGTATGCACAGGTTTATTTACAGAGACGTACCTGTAGTTTTTCCTTAGGAACAAATAACTGATTGGATTATCTTTCTTGGATGACCTTGTGGTCATAATTGGGATGCATTTTAGAGTCAAAGATTTTCCCATTCAGCAACAGCTCCTGCTATCATGTTCCTGGTTTGCTTGAGGGGATCTTGACCTGCTGAGATCCTTCAAAGATTTTACAAGTAATTATACAAGATTTATAGATTTTATGTAAACAATAGGTGAATGCATTCTTACTGTAAAAATAACAAAAATGTATATAATATGGAAAGGAAAGGTCTCACTTCAACACTATTTCTGTCCATTCTTTCCCCTCAAAAGTAATCATAGCTAATTTTTATGGGTTCCTTTCAAACTTTTTCTATGCACTGTGGCACAAACCTTCACATTTATAAAGGCAAAATTTTCTGGGACGTAAATTGTATCATGCTACCATATTGCCAAAGATTTTTTCAAAGGTCATTTGAAAAGAAACAGAGATTCTAGAGAAATCAGCATGTGGATATGTCCATATCTACTTAATAATTTTTTAATGTTTATTTATTTTTGAGAGAGGGAGAGTGAGAAAGTGTGTGTGTGCACCTGATTGGGGGAGGGTTACAAAGAGAAGGGGACCGGATCCAAAGCAGGCTCTGCACTGCCAGCACAGAGCCCCATGCAAGGCTTGAACTCATGAACTACAAGATCATGACCTGCACTGAAATCAAGAATTGGCTGCTTAAGTGACTGAGCCATCCAGGTGCCCCTCTACTTAATTCTTTTAATTATACCGTAGCATTCTGTAATATATATGTGTACCTTAGTTTATTGACATGTTCAGGGACATTTAGCCTGTTTCTGATTTTTTGCCACTATGACCAATGCCCCAGTGAGCATCTTTGTTCCTGACTCTTTGGGAAAATATAGGAGTATTTCTCCAGAAGACATCCCTTGCATTAGAATTGCTGGTATAATATATGCACATTTAAAATTCTGATAGACATTTCAAATTTGTTCTTCCAAAAAGCTATCCCAGTTTACCCTTTTGCCATTTGGATGTAAAATTGACTCTTTCTCGCACTCCTTTGCCTATGTCATATATATATATCATCTAGATATTGCCATTTAAAAAAATTCTTATAAATTTTGGGAAGAAGAATGAAATCTCGTTGTTTTGAACTGCATCATTGATTTCCCATGAGGTAGAGCCTTGCGTACTGATGAGAGCTTTGCCATCATTTCCCTTTGTGTCTAAGTGTCGCTCTCCCATTTCAGATGCTCACTACCTCACCTGCAGGATACAGGAATGTGCTGAGACCACTCGCAGTGGGCCTTTTGTCCGCTCCATTGACATCAGTTCCCTGGTTGTTCAGGATGAATATATCTTCATTCAGGTGAGTCCAGAAAATGCATTCAGTGGTGGAGGTGGGGATGGAAAATGAGGCAGCATTCCCGAGGTTGTGAAGATGTGGAGCTGGGGTGCAGTCTCTCCTCTCCTTTGGTGACCCAGCTCTGGGGAGGATCCAGGACTTGTGGTGAATGGGTCAGCATCCCTATAGGGGTCTTTGATGGCGCATTGAATCCTCAGCTGGGTTGCTGTTTTATTATACCAAAGGGGTCTTAAAATGACCGGGACTTGGGCTAGGGTTTGGAAGTTTCTTAGAGCCACATCTCCAAAGGCATCTGACTTTAAGTTGTTGATCAAAGTCATGTTCCATTTCTGTCCAAAGTGACTTGTCTCATCTGGGAGTGAGAATCCCCAAGAGATGAAGCATCTCTAGGATTTTCTTTCTAGAAAAATGTAGAAATCCCTAAATCTTGCCCTCCCTTTGCAGTGCTGAACATTCCCTGTTATGTCCCGAGTCCAAAAATCCTTCACTCCCAAGAACTTTGACTCACAGAGAAAACTAGATATTACTCATTTTTTAGGCAAGAAAGGGAAGCTTTGTTTTAGATGTTGAGTTTTACTGGAAGGCGACACAAGGAAGAGCAAAAATGAGGAAAAACAAAAGGTGATATTCCTGCTCCAGAGTGACTTACAGTGTGTGTGTGTGTGTGTGTGTGTGTGTGTGCGCGCGCGCGCGCACATGTGTATGTGTATGTGTGTATAATTGAACTTGACCTTTGAGAGCAGCCTTGATTTCTCCCACTCTGCCTTCCCACCCTGCTGTTGCCAGTTGCTTTTGCAGATTGTTTCCTATAGGAATCTTGATATTTAGACTCTCCCGAGTTTGCTCAGACCTAAGCACCTGAATGATTTTTTTCTCTGCCCCACTCCTGGTTTTTTAGTCCAGATTACCCCCATTTCCCATGAGCTGGGTATGCCTCTTTCTCTGAACCATTGCAGCTGTTCCTATCTGCTATTATTTTAGCATATGGGCTATTAAAAATTGTTACTTAAATCTTAGTGGATGTGTCTTCATGTTTCCAAATTCCATTTTATACTCTCTGAGGATAGGGATGATATTTTATGCACACATTTTTCTCCTCATCCTTGGCCCTAACAAGAAGCTTTTGCAAATCTGGGGTGCTCAGTGACTACTTGTCATACTGATAGATGTAGATATAGGAGTCACTTTCTTTTTACAAATCAGCTGTGTAGACTTTTGATGTCTAAAACACATGATACGTAGCCAGCCACCAAAAACCAGCTTGAAAAAGGGAAGGAAAGAGAAGTCTGTGGTTCAAGAAAATCCTGGTTACTAAGTTTGAGTAAAAGCCAGCATCTCAGAATTTTTGTGTCCTATTCATTGGCACTATTATTTCCTTATTCATGAGTATTTATTGAACACATACAATGCAAAATAAACAGTATGAGGCATGACTCTTGGCTTTCCCTAACTCTTGCCCTTGGCCTGCTTCTCTCTGCACCCAATGTGCGCTGTCTTGGGTCTTAAGTACCATCTCCATGCTCTGATGACTCTCACATCAGGGAGCTGTAACCTCTGCTCTGTAAAGCAGATCTTCTCGCCTAGTCATCATCTGGATATCTCAGCATGGATGTTCCACAGCTAAAATAAAATCAGCATGTTCCCCCATTGACCCTGACACATTGGTGGCATTACCCTCTACCTGGGCACTCACAGTAGAAAACTGGAAATCTGTCTATGACATCAAATGCAGTGAATCCAGGTCCCTGCTAATATTACCTTCAGTCTCGAATGTTTTCTTTCATTCCATTCCCATGGTTCCACTTTAGGGCTTTATTATTTCTTTATCTCTGTTTAATTTTTTCAAGTAGAAACACAGAGATGATTTATGAATTTACCAATCTTATTGCCCTTTCCTTAATGCTAATACTGCATATAATGATGAACACGACAGGATCGTTTCTGGGAAACATGACTTAGAATTTTAAATGTTCATATTTTTTTGAAATTCATTCTTCCTTTTATTGTATAAAGTTTTCTGTAACTCTGCCAGCAGGCATCCAGATTTTTTCCCTAACTATTCCAAAGTATCTTTTATTATCATTATACTGCAATCCAGCAAAAGTTTTTTCTTTAATAATCATCAATTTTTATTTTGTTTGAAAGAGATATGAGTTTCCGTTAGTCAATAAAGTTTTATTGATAGCCTACTATGTTTCAGGACCCTGTTCTAGGAGCTGGGGTTAAGATAGTGAACATAATAAAGTTCCTGCCTCTGTGGTACTTACATTCCAGTGGAAGACAGGGAAAAAATATATGTATACATATATATATACATATATAGATATGAAAGACCTGTGAAACACAGTGGTTGAGATGCTGTAATTTGGAATCCAATGGCCGATATTTATCCCAACCGTGGCAGGCCACACTTCAGCTGGGTGACCTTGAGCTTATGTATAAAAAGAGTGTAAGTGAGTACTCAGTTTATTGGTTGCTGGGCAGATTCTTTTTGTTAATTAGATCTGTAAAGCACCAAAACAATGCTATATAAATGTTGTTCTCTTATCTTTCTATCTTGTGCTAACATCTATTCATCTATCTACAGATATATTAGATGATGATAACATTCTAGATGAAAATAAATGAGGAATGTGAATGTTAGGTGTCTGTAGATATTACTTTTTTTTTTTTTTAAGATGACCTGAAAAGGTCTCATTTGGTGAGTGGTGAAGCAGAAGAGGGTGGCAGAAGTCAGCAGTCAGATGGGGACGTGAGGCTGGTCCCATGTTAGGCCCTATACTTTCTTGAGCCCCACATGGAGATGTGTCGGGAACATATAGAGATTTGTGGCTGGCTTTAGGGTAGAGGTAGAGGCCAGGCCTGAGGATATAAGTTGAAAGGGTGTCGGCATATTGATATTATTTTTGAATTGCAAAATTGAAGTCATCAAGGGAATAAGTATAGACAGAAAAGAGAAACAATTCAAAGACTAGGACAGAGGGCACTCTAATATTAGGGAAATGAAAAGAAGAGAGTAAATGAGACCTAGAAACAAAGTTTAGAGATAACTGCAGAAAGATCCAAAGTATTAGATTCCAGGAACTTGAAGGCTGTTTAAGATTAAAGGAAAACAAAGCAAAACAAAATAAAAAAATGAGAGAGTTGGGAAGCAATGGAATAACAATATCCCAAATAATGCAAAAGGCCAATACTCTTGAGAAAAGCATGGAATTTCATCAACCACCAAACATAGATTAAATGCTATTATTTGCAACTATCAATTGACTACGTTTAAAATAAGGTAAAAGAATGTGAGTGGGTTACATATGAACCACTACTCATACTGCAAGTACAGATGTGTATTGTTTGGCCATCAGTATTTAATGAGTCCTTTCCTTCTCATAGGTGAGTTTAGCGTTACGCATTGATCAGTGTGATAGACGTGTCTTATTTCTGACAGTGTATGCTTAGTTTTTAGTTAAAATCGCTTCTTTTTAAAACAAAACTCACTATATGATCTGTTTTCCTGCTTTCCTGCCTCTGGGTTTCTTTGATAATTTTGAATATTTGTTCTAGCTACTTAGCTTTATGAATATAACAGCAGATCTTCTATTTCTGGATAATATCTATTGATTTCCTTTTGTGAGCTGTGATACAATTTCCATACATTTCTCCTTCCTCCCTCTCTCTTAGATTCCTTCACCACCTGTTTTTGGTTGGTCATATTATCTCTTTGTTTGCTTTTCTATCTTAAAATACAATTCTCTTAGACTTAAATATTTTATGAAGTGCTGCTGAACAAAGGTAGAAAAAAATAGCCTGTATTTATGGCCTGTATCCAATTCTAGTTTTGTTAATTAAATCATTCCGAGCATTTACATTCTGCTGTGAGCCATCATTCCTGCTTTTATTTTGATTTTAGTGATATGGGTAAATCTAGTTCCTTTCTGTAGTGTTCCCATTTGTTTACTGGTTGTTTGAAGTTTGTCCTTTATTTTTTGTTTATTTTTTATTTTTGAGAGAGAAGGAGCATGAGCAATGGAGTTGCAGACAGAGATAGACACAGAATTTGAAGCAGGCTCCAGGCTCTGAGCTGTCAGCACAGAGCTCAATGTGGGGCTCAAACTCATAAACCCTGAGATCATGACCTGAGCTGAAGTTGGACTCTTAACCGACTGAGCCACCTAAGTGTCCCTAAAGTTTGCCCTTTAGTAATGTTTTCAAGAAAGTTGAATTCTTGAAAAAAAATGTTCATTTATTTTGAGAGACAGACACAGAGAGAAAGAGAGAGAGAGAGAGAGAGAGAGAGAGAGAGAGAAAGTGTGAGCAGGAGCAGGGCAGAGAAAGAGAGAGAATGAAAGAGAGAATTACAAGCTGCTGACAGCGCAGAGCCCAGTGTGGGGCTCCATCTCCTGAACAGTGAGGTCATGACCTGAGCCAAAATCAAGAGTCAGGTGCTTAAATGACAGCCACTCAGGCATCCTGCAAGAAAGGTGAATTCTTGAATGTTGAAAAAAGCTTCCCTCTTTAGGTTTAATTTTATTTTTCACACTATAAAATGCATTTGTCATTTGCTTTCCGTAAAAACTTTGCTCCATTAAGTTACTGAATGTTATTGTGTCAGGCCAGTCTGATATTTTCCCTGTTAGGTGTCTTAACTGTTTCTCCATTGATATCTAAAAGTCCTTTTTAAAAATATTTATTTGAATATTATTTGCTTTGTTATTGTATGTTTTGTGGTTGATCATACGGTGTGAGTTCCTTTTCCTGAAATGTAAGTCTCATTCAATTGATTCAATTTCTCCTTCCTTTTTAATTGTTCAGAAGTTTCTGTTTATATTTTGAAATATATATTTTATTTCAGTTTCATTATTTTGGCTCTGTTTCACCAGGACATTTAGGATGTGTCCAGAAGACAGGAAAATCAAAGGAAAGTTATTATTTTTTTCCCTTCTAATCAGTTTTAATTCACTGAGCAAAGTGATATTAAAAACACAAACAAAAAAACTGAAAATTCTTAC